TTCGGAAGCTTGATGTGCTCCTTCCGACATAGACATGGAGTCTTCAGAGCAAGACCCAGCTGAGTCTCCCCTTCACCTGTAGGGTGGTCAAGCTCGAGTTCCTAAAATCCCTCCGTTATTTCATCCACCATCACAACATCATTGCCTTGTGGAATCGAACGGCAGTGAAAAGTTGCGTCGGGTTCAGGAGGTGCAACAGAGCTGACAGTCGCCTTGACTTTGAGGTTCTTCCATTGCGTCATAAGCTGGCAATGTTGAGCCTCCGTGATAGCATCCACGGGGTAGCTAGGAGTTGTGAAGTCAGGCTGCTGAACAAGCTCAGTGGAAGCCACGCTGCTTCTCCACTGAGATGGCGGGGTAGATTCTGGGGTAGGTCCAGCAGGTCGCTGGCTCTCAACTTGTGCCTCTAGCTTTAGTACCCTTGCATTCAGCTTCTGTAGTTCGCTCTGCTTCAGTTTCCTCTTCCTCTCCCGGGTTTTGTAACCACCTCCACCGGGAAACCCAACCTTCCACGCAACGGAGCCTGGCATGCCTCGTGTACGTCCAGGGTGCTCAGGATTCCCGAGGGCCTCGGTGAGCTCGTCGTTCTCTCTGTTGGGAACGAACGTCCCTTGCTGCGTTGCGGCGATATACTTCTGAAGCTTCTTGACGGGTATTTTAAGTTGCTCGTCTGTTCAAACGCACTTCCTTGTTTCAGGGTCCAAGATTCCCCCAACGCCGAAGAACCAAGTCCTTGAACGGTCTGGCCAGTTGAATGTCTCTGGTTCGACCCCTATAGCAAGCAGGTCATTCTCAGCCTTGTCCCACAACTGCCGGGCTTTCAGGTAGCCACCTGACCCTGTGCGATGGTGATACTCCTTCTTTGCAGCATTTATCTTGTTTGTCTCTGACATCTTCTTACTCTTCTCTGATGTCTTGTAGGCCACAAATGCAGGCCAGTGATCTCTTATCTTCTCAAACCGGCCGGTGAATTTTGGAGTCTTCCCTTTGTCGACCTACGATGATTTCAACTCATTCTTGCACCTCCTGAATAGATCTGCCATCTTGTTAAGAGCATGAGCCTTGACCAATAGCTCTATAACTGGCTTATCCGGATCCTCCTCCAGCGGTAGGGCGAAATTTGCCTTCAGCAAGTCCAAAGATCATCTTTCTTTCTATCGTTGACATAAGAAACTTCAGGGTCTTCTTTCTTAGGCTTATTCCATTGGTGGATGCTGATCGGGATCATGTCCCTAAGAAGAACCCCGCACTGAGCAGAAAATGCTTCCTTGGTCCGCCTGGGTTCAATCGGTTGGCCATCGTTCGCGATTCCTGTGATCGTGAACCTTTCATCTTGGCGCAACTTTTCTTCGGGCCTTGTCTTGTTACCGAAGTTTGGCTCGATCCGGAGGGCTAGAAAATAAGAAAGAATGGTTAATATGTGTACATACCAATACAATTAATGCATCAACTAGCTAGTCAGCATAGGCTTAATGAATATATATACCTCGCCGGACTTTGCAACAGCTCCCTCCTCCGTTCGGTCACCGGAGCTGTCATCACGTTCTCCTTCTTCCACCGGCATTCGGTCACCGGAGCCATCATGATCATGTCCTTCCTCCTCCATTGTTCGATAACTGGAGCCTGCTTCACCCTTTCCTTCTAGACCATCGGTGTCGTTGAGATACATCAAGATATCAACTCCGCCGAGGATTATGTCCCCCAACAACTGTTCTATTTCCATGTCTTTGTGCTCCATAGTTTCTGCAAATATTACAACATGGCAAGTAACATACAAACATGACAAATGGATATATTAGTGGCAAACATAGACCTAGCTAGCTCGATGCTTCTACGTTTTCGGGTGGCCTTGACAATGCTTCTAGGGTTTGGGGTGGCCTTAGCAACGCTTCTAGGGTTTGGGGTGGCCTCGACGCTTCTAGGGTTTGGTCGGGCGAGAGGAGGTTGATCGACGTCCCCCCTCATGTTGAAGAGTTACCGGAGTTCTCTCATGAATGTCCGACGTCCGGACCACCTCTCTCATGAATGTCAAACAAGGGATTTAAGAAAATGGCGCCATTCTGGATGTGCAGAAAATGGTCCATATTTTTCCTGATCTCATCTACCCTTCTATATGTCATGTTTTCTAGTGTCAAAGGATTCAAGAAAACCGTGGCTTCTTCATTAACCGGAAGTAACAGGCGCATGATGGTATAAAGCTCTCCAAAGTTATTTTGGAACGGAGTCCTGATAGGATAACTTGCTTTTTGGTACGAAGTTCAGCAAGAGCCTTTCAAATATCGCTATTTGGAAGACCTTTGCTGAACTTCGTACCAAAAAGCGAATTATCCTACCAGGACTCCATTCCAAAATAAATTTGGAGAGCTTCATACGATCATGCGCCTGTTACTTCCTGCTAATTATGAAACCATGTATTTCTTCAATACTTTGACACAAGAGAACGTGCACATATAGAATGGTAGATGAGATCAGAAAAAAGATGGATCAAATTAATTATGCACATCCATAATGGGGGTATTCTTGATAAATCTCTTATAAATATCGAGAGAGTTTGTCGGGTAGGGGCGGGAGGGGGTAGGAGACCGAAAACATTTGTTTCCAGGATTTGGGTGTCCTCGAGAGTTGGCCGAGAGAGGGGGGGGGGTGCTCCCGTGGTCTAAAATCGGTCTATGCACGATACAAACATTTTACCTTAGTAACGTAGAAAAAAATATTATCTGGGAGGGGGTATATCGACCCCCTCTCATGTTGAAGTTATCGGGGAGGAGGTATATCGACAACGATGACATACATAGATGAAAAAAATATTATCGGGGAGGGGGTATATCGAACCCCCCCTCCCCCCTCATGTAGAAGTTATCCAGGAGGGGGTATATCGACAACGATGACATACATACATGAAAAAAAATGTTATCGGGGAGGGGGTATATCGACCCCCCCCGCCCTTCATGTCGAAGTTATCGGGGAGGGGGTATATCGACAACGACATACCCGATAAAAAAATAAGAAGATTAAAAAAAAGAAGAAAAAAAGAGGAGAAGAAGAAGGAATAGAGGAGAAGTAGAAAAAAAGAAGAAAGAGAGGAGAAAAAGAAGGAATAGAGGAGAAGAAGAAAATCTAGAATAATAGAAAAATAGGAATAGAGGGACAAGTACGATGACGACCCATCAGTACCGACTTGCAAACAAAGATCTGTTGTGGCTATCTAGCATTGGAATATGGAAAGAAAAGAGTTCACCCCGAGGAAATGGGCCAGAGAATGTGGGCTGGCTGAAATAAAGGTATGGTCTTACTGAATCAAAGCAGTCCAAAAAAAGTGCAAAGCCATCTTTCAAGAAGAAACTTGCAAACCATTGTCCGCCAAAAAACTTGCAAATCGTCATAGCAATATCACAGACTTAGGCAGTGATGTGGTGAATTTATTAATCTATAAATACAGAAAGGGTTATTCTTTGCAAATGTTAGTTAATGATTCCTCCTAACTGCTGGACACATGAAGACTCGCCTCGACTCAACATGCACATGCATGAGATCGATAACTGAAAGTTTTTCTGGGTTTTGCAAAAATAAAAAATACTTCCAAACCAGTGTCGGAATTATAAGTAAAATTTTCAGCTTGTGTTTTTAGAGTTGATGTCTAGAAAATTTAGATGGTATATGGTGACAAATATTTCCGAACTTACTTTTGCGTGCATGTGTATAATATGTGACCATTTGGTATGGATGGTAAGCTATATCAAAAAATGAGTGTAACACGTGTACTGTCCAAGAACTACTACATACATTGTCTTTTAATTTCCTGGTGGCATGTGGACCGGCCAATCGCATAGAAAAACAAGGACAACGATAACGCCCACATGTGTGGTGGGAGCGAAACCCGCCCACACGCCCTGGAAGACACAGACTGCGTCACGTCACCGCATGCATGCATGTGAGAATCTTTTTGCATTTTAAGTTTTTAAAATGTTTTATCTCTTAAATGGAAAATTCGATTGAAGATCCGTTTTCACCATTAAATCCTCGCGATGAGATCTTCGAAACTAGATCTCATATCAATATATTTCGACGAATTTTTTTGGGTTAAAAGTTGCCATGTCTATTGCCCATGAATTGCCATGGTGTTTACACTGAAATTGCCATGATATGTTACAGCTATTTTCTTCTATATTTAAAAGTAAAATTTGACATTTATAAAATGGGGAATTAAGAAACTAGACTTGCCATGAATCATAAACTAAAATAGCCATGATACATGCACTTAAAATTGTCATGGTTCAGACAAAAAAAATCATGATCAAAATACTGGAGTTATCATCATCAAAACACTAAAATTGCCATGCTCTACAAACTGAAATTGCCACATGGCACCTTTAGTTTAAGCACTATAGTAACTACGGTGTAAACATCATGGCAACTTTTGGACAAAAACAATTTTGTCGAAACATATCAACATGAGGTTTAGTTTTGAAGATCTCGTCGAGACGGATTTAATGATGAAAACCGATTTTTCATTCGATTTTTTAATTAGAAGATAAAAAAATTTAACCCAAAAACCGAAAAGATTCCAGCTGATGTCATATGTTCACATGTGACAAAATAAGTGGTAAAAAAGGCGTGTGGACGATGTGCAAGATGTCACATGTGTGGACGTTAGTGTTGTGCGCGGTCATGAACACAAAGATTAGCCTTTCCCTAGATCGTTTGATCTTCTTGGGCCATGCATGCAGGCAGTCTGCCAGGGCTGCATTAGGATTTAGGGGCGTACACCAACTAGCTGATAGGGTCGTACGTCGCCGTTCTGGATCTCACCGCAGAGAACTGTCCCAGGCACAATTCAATTAGCACCACACCCCGGCCGTCAGGGTGCCGTCCAAGCTTCCTGTGCCTACAGGACTCACTTGGCCGTTTGTGCTCCCCAGATTTTAACATTGTTAGCTCAGATCGCAGTAACCCACACAGCCGCATGCGAATTGGACGCACAACCACCAAAAGCGAGCGCAATGGAACAAGCGACCAACGCGCATGACGAGCTTAGCCTCGAGCTCACCCTGGTCGCCACCGTGGGAGTGGCGCCGGCAGCGCCTCGCTTCTTCCTCTGCGCCTACTGCGACCGCAGGTTCCTCACTGCGCAGGGGCTCGGCGGCCACCAGAACGCGCACAGGCAAGAGCGCGCCCTTGCCAGGCTCCACGGTGATGCCGCTGCTGACATGCACGCCTCCCGGGCATGGAAGGCTGCTGCTCGGATGCCTGAGGGGCCCGAGGACGAGGTGCCGGCGGCGGGTGGCATGGCGCACAAGCGCGGCAGCAGCTGGCCGGAGCCTGACCAAGAGCTGGACTTGTCCCTCCGGCTGTAAATGGTCGGTCGATCGATCTCTGCTAAAATGGTTGCTCCGCACCACTTATTTCGGTTGTAGGTACGTCATGGTCTAGCTACTTTGCGTGGACCCTTTGTTTCAAGCTCGTGTTGGGCATATTGTCAGAAAGAAACTCATGTGGGCAGGCATGGGATTCATCGGCTCTTCTACTTTTTTTTAAGTATTGAACTGAATCTCTAGAGCTTGTCGCTCCTTGGGATGAAACAAAATTCCCAATTTCTCCGGCCAGCTTGTATGTGCTTCTTTATGATAATCAGTTTTTTCAGAAAAAATCAAGATATATACTACTCTCTCGGTCCCGAATTAGTTGTCACAGAATTGGCTAAATGTTTCCTTAGCCGTTAGGAATCTAGAATAAGAACATCAAGAAAATTGAGATGTTGGCCAACACCAAATTCATTAGTGCCACCTCCTTTTCCATTAGGCCAGCCTACGTTTTTCCCAAGATTGACAATTTGGCAAACATAGTACAATTTATATATAACAAAAAATATCATTAGAAACTTGAAATAATATATTATCTAGCGGTACATGTTTTAGGATATATTACTTGTATTATTATATTGGTCAAATTGTCAATCTTCTTAGGCCTAATAAATTTTAATGGAGATAGTACTCCCAAAACTCCAACTTTTGAACCTCCAACTGCTTATACATTTTTTTCTCAAATTTACAGCTCAGACATTTCTCAAAACTATATTTGACCTTTGTGTGTTTCTAATCTCCATTATATAGTCTCGACAATGAATTGGGACGGGAAGGTATTTGAGAGGAAATAAGCCCAACACAACAGCCAAGTAGTTGGGTTTACTTCCACAATAAGTCTCGAACCTGTCGTAGTTTTAAGACATTAAAGGTGCTCAAAGCAAATGAATACGAGCTTTATATTAGTTACTTTCTTTCGATCATATCCATGAAGAGTACATTGTCATCAATATATTGATAACTCATGGTCAAGAAAGGTGCGGAATCTTGGATCTGACGAACCTCCCTGGTTCTATTTACAAGGATAACTAACATATCTGCAATAGTATAATAGAAAATGAAATAGAAAAGTGTACCCTTGGCATCACCTTTATTTGCTTGAAAAAAGGACTAATATCATCGTTTTATTGATATCAATGCCTTCTTTGTGGATAAAATTTTCCACCGAAGCTCATGAGACAGGGATGAACCCTTTCCGCAGATATGAGTATAAACCTATTAGGTCCAAGGGCTTTGAGCGGTGGCGTGGCCAGTTATCCGCCCGAAGGGGTAAGTTGACAGCTTCACTCGACAACACCATCGACGGGCAACTTTGACTGCTTGTTAGTGTTAGCTTCTCGTAGACACATAGTTTACTTAATTATGTTTCGTGTTTCCTCCGGTGAGGTTGTACCTCTGGTGAGTAACAGTTATCTCTCGGAGTAAGTGGTAATTTTAAAATTAAGCATGCATGTCCGCACATCACAGCAGCAGCGCGCATGGTCCCTCAATTCCATCTCCAAACAGCTAGGGCCAGTAATCTATTTATCTTAACATTATGCAAATGTGTCATCTCAGCATGCAATATGCATGCAAGAGGACCCACCACAAAATGCAATCATGCAGTGGTAAAAGTTAACCTCAACATGCAAACATGCATGATAGTATCTGCATTGGTAAAAGTTCATCTCAACATGCGGAAATATGCGTGATAATATCTACCCTATTGTGCTATTTATATTTAATAAATATTTCACAACTATACAATAATCAAACATAATATTGTATTCCCACTATTCATGTTACGCGACCAAATCTCATTGAAATATATTGAAAAACATACCCGTGACAGTGCTGGATATCATCTGGTGTAAGTAAATAGGTAATTTCCACTAAACTATTTCTCTTAACACATATACGTTCTGTAGGCCACCATAATAAATAAGCATAATAAATTGAATCAACTTTCATTTTTAATTGCCATATTGTTAATTCATATATTTATGTTCTATACATCAAAATATCACCGAAATATGTTGCAACCAATTCCTGTCAGATTTGTTATTTCTCAGGCGATTAAATCTTTTAGTGGCGTTAGTTGATTCCCACATTGAAGAAGGCGAAGCATGCTGAGGTGGTCGCCGGCAAGGCCGAGGCATGACCTCCCAAGAGACGGGGATGGCATGCCCATTGTGGCATCGTCGCTGCTGGAGAAGAGGCAGGGGTTGCAGGTTTGACAGGTGGGGAGGCTTAGTCATTTGACATCACCGAGATTAGACGGCGCCCAAGCCCGAGAAGGGGATGTCGTGGCTGGCCATGGCGTCATCGTTGATGGCTCGCTAGGACCTCACCAGAGGTGGGGTCGATGCTACACACCGTGGCAGCGTTGGCAGGGAGAGGCAGGGGTACCGGGGGAAGGAGCGGCTTGTTGTGAGGAAGAAGCAGCGACCACTAGGTTTCAATCCAGTTGTTTGAGCTCATCGACTGAAACTATTTTCTCAGTTTCCGTTTTTAGCCTAACATGGTCTAATAAATAATTTCATTGCAATCTTGGTGAGCGATTACTTTGTTTGGAGCGAATGCTAAATGAATCCTATAACATTTCTATAAATTTCCTTTGTTACAAAAGGGGAATAAATTGCACAGAATGAAAACGGTACCCAAGTGACCTGGCCAGTTGCTCATTTTCTCCAGACCGAAGGAATCTTGACTGGGCCTGGCCTTCCACGCATTGCATCTTTTTACTGTTTTATAATCTGCAGGGGTTAATACCACGTGTGTACAAAACTAGCTAGGGCCTCAATCCCGGCTAGACCTCACCTCCCCCTGGAGAACAGTGACAAGTGTAATTGGCACCACACCCCGCCGTCGGGATGTGTGCTTGGCGTGTTGTCC